TATCCGTCGCAATTTCTGACACATATATTTGTCCAGATATTACACGCGTTAAACGTGATTCAATCTACATAAATATAATCTAAATTTTTTAACATAGTAAACAAATTTTTTGAACAAATTGTCTTAAAAAATTTTGGGTTTTTTCTTAAAACAGTATTCGACTTAAAAAATAACTACGAAAAATTGCTTTTTAAAAACGAAAGCTTTTTACTTTCTCTCTTTTTCTGCTTTGACCGCGCGCGAGGTGAGAAGTCAACTGATGTGCAATGTATCGACGTGATTAACTCGACGCAGACGACTTCAGAGGCGCTTCCGCTTCGGCAACGTTTCACCACCCCGTTTTTCCGCTCGTGAGTCTGGCTTGTGTGTCACGTCGTTTGCCACTTCGTCGTTTACGGAAGCGCACGAACGTCGAAAGTCACGCCTCACACGCGTTGTGGCGAAACGGTCGAAGAAACACCGTTCGTCACGGTTCAGCGACGCGATACGCGCCAAGTCGCATAAAAAGGTGCGCATACGCACTAGCACATTGTCTCCGAGAAAAATATTGAAAAACCACAATATACATATGTACAAGGTATTTTTCCGTGAAACAATCACAAAAAAACAACATTCATCAACTACGCTGTACATACATTTTGCTATTCACATACTTATAATAATAATAAAGGCAGCAGATAACGCACCGTGTGTTTAAACCGCCGTGGAAATTTAAGTCACAAAATATTAATTTGCGATTCATTAACAGTGCGCGTATTTATCATATTCTCGCCATTTCAGTTTAAATAAACTTCTCGTCGTAACGCGCGCGCGGATGAATTTTAATACGCGCGCGTGAACATATTTATTATTACAATAACGCGTAAGCTCTGTGTGTTTCTGTGCAAACACAGGCATCATAAACCATACAATGTTAATTACAAATGTGAATATGTACGGCTCTCTTTCACTCTCTCTCTCTCTCTTTCTTTCTTTCTCTTTCTCTTTCTCTCTCGAGTCGTTAGTATTCTTGTTCTCGCCGGTTAATTCTACAATAAATAATATCACTATTCAGATCCGTTAATTATAATGTTAATGTACTCAGTATAAATTTGTAATTTAGTTTGCGCGGCAAAGAAGAGAATTTAATCTCTCCCTAAAATCGAACACTTTTTTTGTTTTGTTTGCCCCCGTTAAACGCGGAAGGCTAAGCGAGATGAATGGCCGGCCGACATCAAAGGCCGGCGCGAATGCTCTCTGTTGCACGCCCACGTGGAATATGCGTGTGCACCCTTGTCTGCGGAGACACAAAGGCGAAACTTTTCCAAGAGAGTCGACGGCCTACCACCCGACGACGACCGCGGCGGCTGTGCATCTCGACGCGAGTGTATATTGTTCCCGCCAAGCCGTAAGCAAAGTAACTAGTGTGATCGCGAGAAAATTCCCAAAACCGGAAAAAAAGAAATGAGGACTCATGTCTCTCGTCGTTGCGTTTTCGTACGTTCCTCGCTTCTTGATGAAGTTAGTATAAAAACATTTTTTTCAAAAATAGTACAATTAGGAGAAACGAGCAAGCACGTCGATCAGTAATGATCGCGATAATGAAGAGGATGCGAAGAGAGTCTCTATATTACATTCTTCTCTCTCTCAAATTGATGACGACATTGATGACCTTCGTGACGGTCTTTCTCTCTTTGTGCTGGGAGATGATCTAAGCGCATTTATCCGAGAAAGAGGAGCGCATCTCCCTCGGATGAAGAAAGATTCTTTTCTTTTGTCAGCGCGTTTTATCGGCAGCCGTGACCGAGTTTCTTTACCGCGTGAATTTTCTTATCGCAGCTCTCTCTCAGTATCGGTAGCTCGATGGCAGCGGGAGCAACAAACGGCGCGACCTTGCCTTTTTTATTCGGTATGGCTTCCAGGGTTCGCCGCTGTGTCGCCGATAACACGCGTTCGTAATGAAACGCGAGAGACGGGCGCTTTTCATTCGTCGTTAATTCATTCTGACGCTTTCCGAATTGTTTCACGTTTCCGACGCTCACGCGTTGCCGTGCGATCTCATTTTGGCATCGAATCATTTTGTCGTTACTTCACTTTTTTCTCGACGCGCTTTACTAAACTGTTATTTAAACATTAGTCTAAGTTTTTCTTTATTTGGTATTTATGTAGTTGTTGTTCTTTCATATATTTATTTTGATGTAAGAGAGAGGAATGTTTCCGAGTCTCTTATCTTCGGAATATCATGGAAAAAATTCGAGAGTTTCTTGTCGGGGGAGGCGCGTCGTGATACGCGCCACAATCGCACTTTTTAACTCCAATGAGCGGGCGAAAGGGGGGAACTAACAGGGATCCGAAAATATCTCTTTGTTCGAGACACACATTCCTCGATATATATTATCCGCCTTAAATGGCAGCGCGAGCAAGCGAGCAGTGACGTGGTGCGCGATGCAACCGGTTCTCCAAAGGGGATCCGCGAACAATGCGGGAGAAATCTCGCGTGCTCGATGACCAAACACGGCCTAAGTCCAACAGTCACCCTCCTCGGATCCCTATGCATGTGTCTCCCTTCGCGGACGAAGCACGTGCATTTACAAGCGGTCGCTCATATATGGTCTCTCGCGGCGAAATGTAGTTGGCGACACGCGTAATATACCGTAAAAGATACTTCACGCGCGATCGTGCTAGTTAGGACAATCCAGTTGTGAAGAGATAGCAGAACGCGCGACTAGGGACAACTAGGCCTAGATAAAAAGCTGTTAACTTAATCAGCAGCAGTCGCCGACTGGCTGGTGCGTGTCGCTATATTTGCATCAGCGATGAAGCGACAAATTCAAACTTTAGCAAAAAAGTGAAAACTGACTTCCGGTTATTGCGTTACGAGCAAGAATGCAGTGTTAATATAAAGCGTTGAATATAAGTCGTAAAAACAATTAATGCTACTTTATATATCATGGCTGTGCAGACTAAATTATTTCACGTTTCTTCCGTTTGTTTTTTCCTCGTACCGTTTGCCAAGAATAATTCTCGGCTTTTTTTTCTTTCTCTTTTCACGGAAAGACGGAACGGCGTGTGTGTGTGTGTGTGTGTGGCGCGAGCGAGCGCGCGCTTTTTTATTCTCCGGCACGAATTGGAATTCGTTCCCGCGGCGGGCGGGAGTACGACGCTTCCTTCGTCTGGAACGATTCCCGAGGAACCCCTAAAGATAGCGACATCCCGCCACGTGTCGACTAGCAGACTCTTGCGACCGTTTCGTCATCCTAACTGACGCATTCCGCGAAATTCGCAGCGCGATTTTGGTACGCAGTCAGTCCGCGAAATAATTATGTTTATTATCACACACTGCAGGTAAAAATGTTTGTTAATCGAGAAAAATAAAAATGCGGATCAAAGCGGTAGATAATATTTTGTTGCACAAATGTAAAAGTTTCTTTCACACAACAAATATTATTTGTTGAATTATTATACAAAAGAAAATCTTCATCAAGAAAGGAAAAAAGATGTTGCTACCGATAAAAAATAAATAATTTGTGTGTGGAATTAATTAATTGATACATTTAATTAATTACATTTATAAATGCGTATCTAAATATCGGAGATTTGTACATGAATCAGGAATTTGTACGTGGTATGCAGTTCATTTAAACGCCTACGTTTTCAAATAGATCCGCCCATATGCCGCATTTAGTCGGATAATGTTATCCGCACATTTGCGTTTTGCGTAACGGTAATATATGCTTCACGAGCCGCGTATACGTTACTGTTTGCCGATCCTACGGTATGTAATTTATCTTTTATGGCCGCGCGCATAACAATCTAGAAAGAACGTTTAGCGCAAAATAACTGGCCGTGACTCGACATGCGAATGAGCGTCTTGCAAGTTTCCGGAAGATTTATGATCTTTTTATCTTTTGGTCTCCGCGCATGTTTTTTATTCTAAAAGTTTTACTGTTCGCAAGTCGCATTATTCTATAAAATAATTCAACAAAGTTGTAGATTAACAAAGTTACTCGACTGAGCATTTGTTAAATATTGTTTATTCTAAAATATATGTGTGTAGTACACGTATAAAAGAACAATTTCTATTCCAAGAATATGCAAATTGTTCTTTATTTTGCTTTCTTCAATTATTAAAGCTATTGTTACTATTTTTTTAACGCATTATTATACAGTATTTATTAATGTTGTTTTCAGTAGTAACAAAATGTAAATTGCAGGAAAAAAAAATTGGAAAAATAAAACTACGTTGGAGAGAGAAAAAAAGCTCGAAAAAAAAACACATAAATCGGTGTATTGAATTTTCTTTTTCATTTTTCGATGCTGTCGAGAATTTCATGCGACTCGCAAATCAATCAATATATAACTAAGTGCAAATAAGCAGTATTTGCATGTACACATCCGCTGGATATATACACGTACATGTACACACGTATATACATTCCGGGATTACATCGTGCGCGCTTTATCCTCGTTAGAGTAACAATCTCGTGTCGCAAATTTCACTTTGATTGGTTTCCGTTCGTTTGTCATAAGGGCGTGAAAAACAAGTGGGAAAAATTTCCCTCGCGATTTCTATCAACCACGCTACTCGATAAATCGAGTCGTTCGGCAAGTCAATCGAGATAACGAGAGAGAGAGAGAGAGTGCAAGTGAGTGAGTTATCGATTTCCCAATGATCGGCGCGATCTGATATAGCGTGTGCTTGCTGAACTATTTCTCATTAGAACGACCGCATCTAATCGCGAAATTGCGCATGAACTATCAGTTTGCTACGTATATTGGCACAAAAACACAGTAGTTATAAGTCTCTTCCGTCTAAATTTTCTGCTCAATTTAGATATATTGTACGATAGAACTTGTGATGTAATGACATTAAGAACGATGTGTATGTGTGTTGTGTGTGTGTGTGTGTGTGTGTATACATCTTACTTATCTAATTATACAATGCTTTTGCATGTGTGATGATGATTATTATTGTTGCACCATTTGTTTTACTAACCAGTTTTTTCGTATTTTCATTGCAGCAAAATTATCTCATGAAGTTCGGCTACTTGCCTCAGACCGACTTCGAAACGGGAAATCTTCGCACGGAAGATCAGCTAAGGGATGCCATAAAAACTCTGCAGGTAAGTAAACGCAGCACAAAACCAAGATAGATTTTATTTTACAGCTTCACACACGGAACTTGAAAATCGAAACGTTTGTCTCTCACTTTTACGAGCTTGGTTCGTTAAAAAGCAATTGTATACTCGTTATTTTTATATATATATATATATATATATATATATATATATAATTCTGATATTAATTTATTATTCTTTTATATTATTATTTTATAATACACAAAAATCATGTTTCTCCTTGCTTTAATGTACTCACAGAGAGAGAGAGAAAGAGAGTAGCAAAAGAAACTTTCTATTTTATAAAAGTATATATTCATATTCACAAAAAGCGCGAGCGATCAACGGATCTCGTTGAAAAGCTGCCGCGAGCGAATCGATGGAAATCGTGTCGAAGGAAATGGAGAAAATGGAGCAAATGTCCCAAGGGGTTTCGTCGAACATTGCCATATACATTCCGTTCTTCTCGATTCTCATGTAAATCTTCATCGGGGTGTATTCCCTGCCCCTTTTTTTCTCGCAAACGACTGCATTCTTAATCGCCGTCGGCGTTCGGCGAGGAAAGGTTGAGGATTGCTCCGATCGAGAGGGATCAAATCCAAATGCGAAATGGAACGCATTGGAATGCCTCGGACATTCTAATCTCGGGGGTCCGGAACTCGGGTTCCGTCCGTGGAATACGTTTCTCTCGATGGTTTTATCGATAATCGCGTTTGTCAGATTCCGGACGCGTTTCTCGTTGAAATGCTCGAAAGCGCTCTCTTATCCGTGTTCGCCAAGATGAAAAAGGACATAACTAAAAGAAGCGTTTTTGCGTATTTTGTATTTGTTTCAACACGACAGAACAAAAATGTCTCGTGTGTGATATGTCGGAAGATTTTAAATTTATATAAATACTTCTCTCTCTCTCTCTCTCTCTCTCTCTCTCTCTCTCCGAACACTGTATTGTGTTTATCAAGGGATATGTCTCTTATTTCTTACGAGTCTTGTGTGATTATGTTACTCTATAATAAATCGTACGTCTTTATGTTGTCGACAGAGATTTGGCGGTATTCCCGTGACAGGTGAGATCGACGAGGCGACGAGAAAGCTGATGAAGGCAAAGAGATGCGGATTACCGGATCGGCCGGATCCCAGATACGCCAGAACGAGGCACAAACGTTTTACCATCCACGGACAGCAATGGCCATATCTGAACCTCACCTGGAGGTAAGTGTACACTTTGAAGTCGCTAACATTGCGATGTAAATAAATTGGCATTTACGCATGGAATTCAGAGATCTTTGTAAATCGAAATTTTTATCTCGCTGTTTCCCGAATTCGAAAAACAATTGCGCACAAACAATACGAGCAAGAGATTTATTTTTGCAAGTTACCTTATTTATTTTTGCAACATCATCGTTTGTCTCTCGATGTGTCGTCGATGCGCAATTTTCCGCGTATTTGCCTCGTAAGTTTTATTGCTCAAGAATTCGTATATAATTTTGACGACGAGGACGCGTCTCTCGTGAGAGAGGCGAGTTTTGCAAGTCACGCACCGTCGAGATGCAACGACGCGTTTTTCGCGGACAGAAAACTCGCGGACAGAATTATCGCGGCGCGAGTAACGATAATAATATCCCCCGGGTGTTTCGCTCGACGCGACGATAATTCATCTGTATAGGTACCTGTTGGTTAGCAGTCGCTGCTCCTACAGGATGTCTGGCTCCTTAATTGCGGGCTTCCTCGTGTTGGGGGCCTCGCCCCGCATTAGCGCACTAACCCGGCTCGGAAATGCCATTGACATTGTTGGTCCTCGGCCAACTCTGGCGAACCTTCGCCGACTCTCGTCGCGAATTGCAGAACGATGAGACCATCGCACGCCATCGTTTTTCCCGAGAAAATTATATAGGAAAGTATCATATACCGCCTTGCAGAGGCGGTATTTACACGCTCGTGTTGACACGCGCGAGACATCTTTTTATAAGAACTTGTAACTTTTCAGATTTACAAGCTACAATAGCCTTTCTTTTCAAAATATTGTTTTTATTATAAATTTTTTTATATATAAACACAATAAATATAAATGTTTTGATCTTTTTTGAAAGTTTATACACGGATGTATGCACAAACTAAATTATCTTGTTGTATTTATGATGATTTATATTTATTTTTGGTAAACATCGCTCCAATTGTCTGATGATATTTTGTTAAAATTACAAAAATATACTTATATAGTTATGAACTATATAATATACGTCACAGATAAAACAGGTCTCTGCTAATGAATCATGTCGGTATCATAGGTAGCTTTTAAAGTGGTTTATTCGTGTAGATATAAAGAACAGCTGCAATATCGACGCTATTCTATCGCATCATGTGGCACCCTCTAGCAATTAAAGTAATAATTAACTTTTCAAAAAAAGATAAGAACAGGCGCCAAGTACACATATTGTATTTAAATTAATAAATTAAAAATTGATTTAATACTACAAACAATTCTCTCTTTCTATAAAACCTCCAACATTATATACTACAAAACATTATTTTTTACTACAAAAACTTTTTTCTCTAAAATGTTTTTACAAAATACAAAAAGTTCTTTCTCTATAAAATCTGATTTACAAAAGTAAGACTACGCTTTAACTTTTTTTCCGTGTGATTATTAATAACTAATCCTAAGTACATAACTATGTACTTTGGAGATGTAACATAGAGATGTAACAAAAGAAACACTTTTTTCAAAACATATTTAATGCAAAAAAACTTGGCGCGTATATATATGCCATCTGGCAGCAGGCATACGAACATGCACACAATTTGATCGCACGATGACTACGTTTCTGAATCGTAAATTTTTCACTTCAAAACTTTATCGTCGTATATCTCGAAAAATCAGAAACAAACAACAAAAACGCAAGAATACTGTTTTTTTTTATTTTTTTAATTTTTTTAACGTGAATTGAACGAGACAAAAAAGAAGTCGATCGGTTCAGTCGTTATTAAAAAATGGCTGATTAAAAATCTCTCCTCCGTTGAAATGCCTGATTTTCGCGTATAAGAGGCACAGTGTGCTCGCGCAGTTCGAGTGCCACTTCGCGTTGCGAGGCACTACCGTTTCTCTTGATAAATGCGGTTAATTCTTTTTAAGTTGTGTTAATATAAAAATCTATTATTAAATAACTCGCATTTATCTTTTTCTTGACATTATATGGCACTATATAAGTGCAAAAATATTTTTTTCAGAAATAATTATTTTACTTTATTTTTATTTTTATAAATATTATTTTTAGTTTTGCGTATTTTTTTGTTCTTTTTGTCGGTCACTATTCGTTTTTTTTTCTTATTGGAAATTTATGGAATTTCCTTCCGTGTGCAAATATGTAGATAAAATGAGTTTTATACATTCTTGATCTTTTTGACAACTCTCTTGTAATCTATTGTCACTGTTATTATTTAGTTGTTTGTTGTGCACAAAATGCATCTTGCGATTTGCAATTACGCAACCGTTGTGCATGCTCGTCCAATATTTTCGCACGTTAATTAGCGAATCCTTCATTGGACTCGTTAATTAGCTGTCGAACTGAGCGTAACAAACTGAGCCTTTGCTAGTACAGAGGGAAAGCTGTCATAATTTTCACGCACGCCGAAAAAAAAATCCGTGTGGCGTCTGTCAGAACAATTCAAATCAAAGTGCATTGCCGACACAAAATTGGTTAGGTTGTGTGATTAACTTTGTCATCCGGTTATCGCTCTACTACAAATTCCGTGAATTTTGTGAAAGGGATGACGATATGCAGTCCTTTTGTGTGCTGTACCGATTGGAACAAATTTGGCGGATTTTCACACGCGAACGGGTTCGTTTGTCTTTCCAGCTGGACTCTATTTGTTCCTCTAGCGTGCGCGTTACGTCAAAGAAAAATACGAGCTTTTTACCGTGAGAGATGCTTAAAATTGTCGTATAAAAATATATATTGATCGCGAACGAGATTTGTGTATGTCAGGTTTTGGAAGAAAGAATTGTGTTTAAATGAAATTACTACATTCTGCATTAAAAAAAATTTTTTTATTAGCATATTTTTTCATGACAAGATTTTGTTTTTGGTTTTTAAAGATTTATATCGTACTATACATCCTACATATCGTATTACATCGTTTATATTCTTCAATATTAAAAATATTATATAAAGTAAAATTATATATTTCTCGTTAATTTGCGACGTTAAGTACGATGCGACTTTAAATGCGGATGAAATTGGAATAGAAACGAGAGAGAGCCGCGAGATTTAATAGCAAGGGTGGGATGAGAAATTAGCGAGAGACCCTACTTTCGCTAATTTTCCCCGCGGTTTTGGAGCGGACAACTTGCAATTAGTCGTCTCGACGTTCCCGAACTCTTAGGTTTCGTGAGTCTGAAATTCTGTTTTTTTCTTTCTTTACTTTCAATGTCATTTAGATGAAATCTTCGCGAATGAATTCGATTTAGAAAGAATTTTCAACTCGAGGCAGCTTGTCGTAATTTGTTTTTAAATTTATTACAACGCAAAATAAAAATTTAATATAGAATACGTTTTACTTATATCTCGAACATGATTTCAAACATATTACGACTTTGAATCTTAAAATCTTTTGTTATCGTACTATTTTATTTATTTTCGATAACTACTAGCGATATTTGCGTATCTCGTAGATAAGTTTGATCTCAGGATATCGTTACGAGATTTTGTATGTACTTCGGGAATAGATTGCGAGTAGCGCAGTATTTTGGCTCAAGGAGCTGTTACTGTTTATACGCGACACAACTGAAACTTTTTACGATTGCTCGTGCGAAAGGATATCGGAATTCATTGTCTCGTATGATAAGCCTGAACAATCGGTCGAGTTGTGAAGAGGTAAGGCTAAATCCTCAAGACTGGAAGTTAGAAGCCTTTTCATTGTGTGTTTATCTTTGCGAACATAGCGAGGGAAATCGTCTCTCGCGAAGGCGTTGAATAGACGCATTTTCCCCGCGTATATCAAATCGTTTGAGATAACGTTTCTCTCAACAAAAAGATCTCAACGCGACACCGTTCATTTTACTTTCCGTTGTGAGAGGCGCGTGCAGGTAACTGATGAAAACATATCGTTTATATTATTTGTGAAAATTATTGTAGTAATTTTATCCTGCAAAAAATTAGCGTTTTGCTTTGCAAAATATAAAATTAATTTGGTTTTTGCGAAATATGCAAAAAGGTAATAGGAATATATAGAAATCGCATATTTATATTACTAATATGTGGGACGCGAGCGTAAGTATATGTTACGAGAGCTAATATAACCGTGCCGCGTGCGCGCGTTACAAATTTAAATACGCTTTTAGTTCTCCTCTGAAAAGCGGGTTATTTCGATTTCCGTCTTTCGTATATAGCGAGCGTCGAGATAATTACAGCGACGTCATGTGTTGCAGCGCTGTGAAAACGCTTCAAAGTTTATAAATAAATCTTTTCTCTCTTACTGGGTTACAAAGTAGCGAGTTCATTTGGTCGCAAATTCGTTCGTGAATTTTTGAAAGAAAAATCACTTGAAATAGTGGCGCGACCAAATTAGCATCGATATATGCGCAGTATCGCATATCTTCGGTATGATAGAAAGTCGGTTTTTTGTGAAAAGGTCGAAAAGAAAGAAATTAGCTCGGTTATTTCGTCTTCTCTCTGTTTCTTTTCATGCGTCTTGATTTAGACTCTCTCGACATCGATTGTCATAAATTTTCAAGTCGATTGTACGGAAAGCTGATGAGATAAAGCGAAACAGTTAATCAAAATCTCGGACCGCTTTTCAGACAATTTTCGGACGTATTTTTTTGCAACGCGCAATTTTGCGTTAACAGAATATTTAACGTAACGTTTTGCAAACTCATGAAATTTTCTGTCTTTTTCTCTTTCTCTTTCTTTGAGTAAAAACTTGGTGAAAAAACGTTTTTTTTATTAGAACATTTCTATTACAATCTCTTGTTCAGTTCTTTGAGTGGAAAATCTTTGTTACATCGCGTCAAGATATTTTATCTCACTTTTTATCGGAGACAATTAAAGCGCTCCGCGACAAAATTGTTGTATTAACTAAACTTTTTTGTGACAAAAAAGCTCTGTATCATTTCCTCGCGCTTGAAATATTACATGCATTACGCTGAAACGGCTGCCCGTTCTGTCCGCAGCGTGGGAGCGACACATTTTCGCGCGCGTTTTACACAGACGCGGC